CCTGGGTGAGCTACTGCAGGATTTTTGCAGATGGTACATAGTGCATCAGTGGTGAAGGGAGTGAAGGTATCTGATGGGGTGCCAGCTAAATTGGCTGCTTTGTCCTGGATGGTGTCAAGTTTCTTGACTATCATTCAGGCAAGTAGATGGTGGATAGGCTTTGAGGACTCAGAAGGTGAGTTACTCACCACAGATTTCACAGCCTATGTCTTGCTGTTGTAGTTACATATTTACATGGCTGTCTACTTAGTATCTAGTCAATGGTTATCCCAGGGATTTTTCTAAAGGGGGATTCAGTGATGGTAATATTATGGAATTTCAAGGGCCAATGTTTAAATTCTCTCTTTTTGGAGATGGTCATTGCCTGGTATTCACTGTGTATGTTTTACAAAGCAATTGGACTTCAATGACAGAAATATTTTGAACTGTGATTTTTTTTTAACTGATTGAATTTTTCTTTGCTTACTATAAATCTCTCTCTTCCATATACTGTTTAATTAGCAGAAAGTCGATTAAAGTCGACTGCCCTCAAACTTCCATAGTACTCATGTTAGGTAGTCCTAACAGGGTCTACAAGTATGGGCTCTGATTTGGCCATTGCTTAGCATATCTCAAACATGATCTGTAGGTTGAAATATGAGGATTCTCTGGATATGAATCTTGATGTGATCAGATCATAATCTAGTTAACAATCTCTTCACCTTAAACTGTGGAATGCTTGTTATTCAATCTATGTCTTTGGCTGCTCAACCATGGCTTGTCCCTGTGTGGGATATTGACCTAGCTGAATTCAATGTTGTTACTTTCATGCTCTTACACAAAGGAAAACAAAGACATGTCATTAGGTTAACCTCAGTATCCAACTGTTTATTCATCATGCGTTTGTGTAACTATTGAATGAATAACAAAGGGTGATTACACTGTTTGGGAGATCCGTACCTTCCTGTCATTACATAACTTCCAGCAATACTTGTAGTAATAATAGCAGTCGCAACAATATCATTACTGCTGTGGTTGAGATCAATGAACCTTTAAAGTCCAAAAGTTGTACGGAGTGTCCTGAAAAATGCTGACAACATGATAAGGCATTATATAAATCCAAGTAACCGTTCCAAAAATCAAACCACGTAGCAATAACAAGGTTTCAGCCACATTATGGTTGGGCCTTTGACAGCAATGTCAGAGGCAGGAAGGCTAACACAATGGTTTAGGATTGCACTGGATCATGGACCCGATGTTTTTCCCACTGCTGAGCTATTTTGCTCGTTGACCCACTGAAACACCAATTAATGGCATCATTTTTTTGTCTTATTTCATGATGTTCATTGATTCAAACTGTATCATTGAATTTGGTACTGCAGTTATTCTGAAATGATGAGTTAAATAGTCTGCATGTTGTTAGTGCTGTGATTTTGGTGTGGAAGTAGTAATATTGCTTTTTCTCCCACCAACAATCTGTCAAATATTACAGTCTCATTTAAAAAATTAAATCTTAAAAAGATTTGCACTTTGCTATCCCACAGCACTGCCATTTTGCATGTGGGTGTGCTGATCAGACTGCAGTTGCATATCCCACCCACTAGCAATCTGATTCAGCTTCCCACACAGCAGGTAGTAAAGTGACAGATAAGAAATGTGTTACTTTGACTGACCGAAGGAGGTAGAAAGACATATAATCTTGTTGGATCCTTGGGAAACAAGTAATGAAATCATTGAATGTACATACCTGTGGGATTTACAAAATTAAATATAAAAGGTATGCACGTGCCCTTTGTGCGCACTTATATCCATAAATAATGATTGCCCTTTCCAAGTGGTAAATATCGAGGACTATGAAAATATTCCACTCAGCGAGTGAAATCAGCACCTTTTCAAGGTCAAACCTAAAAGAATTATTTAAAATCCAATTCCTGTATCTAGTCCATCGTCAATACCAGCAGTAACCCCATATAAACCACATGCCAAATACTGAATGCGCACTCAACTCTTCAAATCTCAGTCCCTTCACATATCAATAGACATCAGCAACACCCACCAGACAATGTCACTGTGACTCAGTGCATTAGTACACTGCCATCATGGTCACTCTCTGAAATAGTTCTCCAGAATTCTCCACAGCTTAAGTCACAAAGCAACTAGTCATTTGCTGTCACAATGCACCATGTATAATATATTTATTCCATGCTTGATAAATATGAATGTTCCAGAACTGGGTATCTGATGAGCAGAGAATAATTAGAATAAAGAAAGTAGACATTGACGTCATAGATAATGCCATCATGTTATCCATTGTGTCTACCAAAATAGCTTTATTTTACAAAATGTTTGTACCAAAAATGAGAAACCATTGCAGATGTCAGATGGTAATATTGTTCACCTTAGTTAAGGAGTTATGTAAATAAATTGAAGCAGCTCAGAAAAGGTTTTCCGGACTAATTCCTGGAATATGCAGAATGTCTTTTGGAGAGAGGTATGGCAGACTTGGCTTGTATCACTGAAATTGAGAAGAATAACAGTCTGCTTGATTGAAACATATATAGGATCCTGAGGAGTCTTGATAGAGTAGATGTGGAGAAATCATCTATTCTGATTCGAAAATCTAGAATTAGCAGTCATTGTTCAAAAATAAAGGGTTCCTCATTTTAAACAGATGGGATGAATTTCTTATCACAGATGTTGAGAGTCTTTGGAAATCTCTTCCCGAAAATGAGGTGGAAGCAGAGTCTTTGAATGTTTTTAAAGAGATCAAAAGATTCTTGTTAAGCAAGGGGGAGAAAAATTATTCTGGGGAAGGCCAGAATGTGGATTTGAGGTTACAGTCAGATCAGACATAATCTTATTAAATGGCGGAGCAAGCTTGAGGGACCAAGTGGATTATTCCTGCTCCTATGTACTTATGGCCTTAAGTTTCTTCTATCTGTCTGGCAGTTTTGAGGTAAAGTTAGCAGATACCAGTCTATTCTGACAACGAAGTGTGCACCAGCAAAGTGCCAATGCTGATTTCAGGTGCTGAATTTTGTGATTTTTGTTCATGCGCTCGTGATATATCTGCAATCACTTTGTCTGTTGTGGTGAAGGGATAAATCTCTGGGATGTTTTTCTTATGGTTTTTGCACTAATTTTCAGCCATATTGTCGGTTTTTTTTTTAAAGGGTGACCCCAGAAACTTGAACTGCATGAATCAGGTTTCATCTTATGACATGGAATGGCACTCATTACGATATGGTTTCAGTGAAGATTCAGCAGCAACAAGGAAATCCTTAGAACTCAAGCTATCACCCCCCTCCAGTCCTCTCCCCTTCACTCCATGAAACCTTGTCAGTTTTGGAGAGAAATTGGTTGAAGCCTTTTAAACATACATGTTTAGCTCTTAACAAAATCGAAGTTTCAGATTATAGGTTAATCTTTTGGCTGCTTACGATACATGCACGTGCTTTTGACTCACATGGACATGATGGGTTCAGGTATTTCACCCCATCAAGACTTGAAAAAAAAGGTGTTTCCCTCATCTGAACTGAAAATGGACACATGCCTGTGTACATGATCATTAAAGTCTGGAAGTATATTTTCCCCATGGCACAAAGTTCAAAAATTTAAAAAAATTGCCAAAATGTATATTTTTTTAGTAAGAACTAACTTTGTGGTTATCACATCAGGCATATTGAACATAAAAAAAAGTCTCTTGCGCAGAGAAACAATGTGTCCCAATGATTATTCGCACATCTATTTCAGGAGAGACAGGTGTCATTTACTCCAAAATTTGTTCTAGCAGGAACAATTTGGATCCGAGAAACTGCAGCAATTTTAATTTGAGTTCATCCCCAAAGTGCAATGTGACTTTTTAAAAAATTTTCAGTACTGCGCTGTTACTGAGACTTAAATTATTCGTTAATTATTCATATAAAGAATGCATGTACACTGGATGAAAGTTAAGCTTGAAAGATCCTTTGCCATGGGTTGGTGCCAAATCTGTCACCCGCTCTTTGACTCATCACTTTAATGATGGCATACTTACTTTCCTTCAGAGCATTTTTTTTTACCCCCTCCTTTCATTGCTTCCTTCTCTGTGTAGCTCCCAAACCCTTGGAACACTGTTACAGTGTGCATTTCTGTTTTAAGTCTGTGCCATTGGGAGAATGGAGCTGTAGTGCCTCTTGTTTTGGAAACAGGTTTGACGGGCACTTGCTTGTTGATTTGATGACTAGACCTGTACCTAAATGACTTGGCATGTTTACAGAACGGTTTTGTTTTGTTTTACTATCGGGAACAATGCAAATTGCCATTTCATGGTTGGGAAGGAATATTTAATAATCTTCAAAGCTGTCTCAATTCCTGTGAGGTGGAGGGGGGGCAAAGTATATTGAAAGCCAGCTTTCAGGTAGCGAGTAACTGCTGCATTTTATTGATTTTTCGGTTGTTTTTTTCATTGGAAATCACGGATCGTCGAGCTTTGCAACTATTATTTAGCTTGTCTTTTGACGTGTTCGTGCTATTTAATGTGTGTGTGTGTCTGTGTTCCGCTGTCACTAATCACTATTCCGATATCACTGGGAATATTCTAGGCATTAACACATTTTCTTCTTCTGTGGATCGCGGGACCTATTAAAAAGACAGAGAAGGATCGGGAATTGCTTGCAGTTCCCGCAGTCTGAGAAAATCACTTTTGTTGCTCTCTCCTCAGTAGAGAATGTGGGGATGGAGATTTCAATGTTGACTGTATGTTTTCTCTGGGAACGGCTGCGGTTTAGATGGGGAGATGAATGGTCGTACAAGTAGTTGGATTAATTCCCTACATTGCTGTTTTAAAATTTTTTTTGTGGGGGCTGGGGGAGAAATACAATTATTATTGTAAATGTTTCTTTGGCGTAGTCGAGTTGATGCATCGCCCTCTGTAAATTTTTTGTTGTTGTTGTTTTGGCGGATGCTTTGGGTTTGTTGCATTGATTCTGGCTCCTCATTTAGAGATGTGTCCGTCTCTTCTCTCTTTTGGAAATTGTCAGCTTCGCCGTCCAGGGGGTCTGGTCGAGCCGCGGCTGTAAGACGTTCCCCATTGACTCGTCACGTACAAAATGCCAGTGTGACCGGCTCTCCAGCTTCGCCATTTTGGCTCAGCTCTCGTCAGATTCGGTAAGTCCGATTTATTTATTATGATTATTTTGGAGGAAATATTGCATTTCGTCTCGAGGGAGCGAAAAACAAAAACTGCGCAAAATCTGCAGGTCAGATAACATTGCACGCAACACTAACAGGGGCATGACACCTGTGATTAAAGGCTGACATTTCAGTTCAGAAATCTATATGTTTGGGACTGCTATATCAATTAACAAGCTGGCATTTACCCCACCGCTGCTGGCATTGGAATAAATTGCAATCAACATTTATTAAGATGTCCTGCACAGATGTTTTCACCTGATATGAGTCTGAATTACCATGTTTTGTGGTCAGTTGCCTCAGTTGTGGAGGAGTGGAATGGCTCAACACTCACAAATGCTGTCAAATACAAACCTGTTTTACATATGAAAGTAAATACGTTGCAAGCAGCAAACCATCTCCATTCCTTATGTGACTATGGATGTGTTACACATTTCTGTAGAAAGGAATTATCTAAATGAAATACTTATTTTGGAACACAGTATCTTCAGCAGAATGTTCTGTAATGTTATGATGAATATTCAGAGATTTGTTGAGTTCCAAAAGATCAAAATGCTTATCTCTAATCAATGCAAATGATTTCATATTAAATATAAATGATACGATCAATTAGTGACATAATAAATAAATAACAAGTAATTTTATGCCAGGATGGTTGGCTAAGTGACACAGCTATAAGATAAACATTTCCTAAACGTTCTGCCATATGTGTTTTTTTTCAACTGCATTTAACTAAACAGTTTAGGAAATGATTGTGAGCTTGGCGCCATGTGTCAGCACAAACTCATTCTTTTTGCCACGGCTATACATTATAATAGCATGAGGAAGTCAAACTTTTGTGCTCAATTGAACATGTTACATATGATTCTCTCAGTTCCACACAATCATCAAGATAAAATGTAAAATTATTCGACTATTTTGCTTGCATTGCCATTGGAATTTACTCTTTATTTGAGTGGACTATGAGTAAGATGGATGCTAGTCATGATGTCAGATAGAAGCTGTCTACAATGGTCCATAATAAGAGTTAAAGACCCTATGATCTCTTGGAATGTTATTTTGAATTGTGATATAAATGTATTGCTTTGATTTATTGGCAAAAAAGCGTAAGACTCTGCAGCTAAGGATTTTCTTTTGGTTTTATAAGCAAGTGTGTCACACAGCTAATGTTGTCAACTAATGCTTCATTTAGACACATTTTACTTCATGATTATTATGTAATTGAATGCCAAGTCAATGCTTACTCATATACATGTGTACCTGTGTGTTAAATGGCAGTCATCCTAATGGTTCTCCTATAGTGACATCTATATTGAAAATGCCAATGTCAATGCATGTGGTGCTACAATGGAATGTATATGTATCAAATTCATGTTAAATATTTCTAAAAATAAAACTTATTAAATTAGCAGAAAAAAGACAAATACTAGATATGCACAAGTTATGTCCTTATGTGAAAATCAGCAGTTGGTATATGTTGACATGTAAGTAGAATGTGGTGACCCCACTATCAAGCAGTCAAATTAGTTTTTGCATTCAGGATTTTTTTGTGCATGGGAATAGTGATGGTATAAATAATAACAGGAAACCCAAACGGGTCAGGCAGCATCTAAAAAGCAAAGATGAAATCTTAGTAAGGGTATTATTTAAAGATCTGTTGAAAGCTCTGGAGATTTTACTTATTATCTTAACCAATTGGTGATATTGGCAGTTAATTTTCTCAGCAAACATGTGTTTGAGTCCATTAGTTATTGCTTGCTGAAGTGACGTATATCTGTGGAACAGATTATGATTGTAGTCACATTATTTGTTGCAAAGTTAGTGAATGTGGGATAAAATTATTCCATCAAAGGCACAATATTGCTTCACAGGCATTGTTGGTAGAAATTAATTGGTACGTGCTACAAAGTGATTATAGAATGCTGGTTCCTGTTGTAAAATTCCATTTGGCCTCTGATCAATGGCATTGATTGATCTTCCACTGACTTTGCAAGCTGCCTGGAGCTTGTGGGCGGCTATCTGTATCTCTCCCAATCCAGTTCACATGAAAGTGATGAGGAAACAGAACCATAGTGGGGAACTGGGAATCTAAGCATAGGGAAATTCTTTGCCTGCCCACCCTGTTCCTGCCTCCAAATAAGTGTCAACATCTTAGAGATCGTAAGAACTGCAGATGCTGGAGTAAGAGATAACACAGTGTGGAGCTGGAGGAACACAGCAGGCCAGGCAGCATCAGAGGAGCAGGAAAGTTGATGTTTCGGGCTGGGACCCTTCTTCACCCGACCCGAAACGTCAGCTTTCCTGCTCCTCTGATGCTGCC